TCTAAAGCACAGGGATTTATTTTGAAAGGAGTTACCAAAACACAGACTGGCAGGCCTGGTGTGACTTCACATATCTGAGCAAGGTAAGAGCAGAGTGGAAAAGCAGTGAAAACAGTTTGGTGCTTACACTTCAAAAGAAATCTCACTTAGCAGCTTATGCCTAACAAGGAGACAGTGCAGGGCTTGCAATTAAGTTACTGAAGATTAATAAAGGAGGAATTTCCCGTAAACTTGACATATATGGCTGAAGCTTACGTTAATGTCTAAGGCCTAACACATGGAAGACGAAATCAACAGCCACAGAATAAAACTTCCAGTCAGCATATCTTGGTTTCATGCAATGCATAGTTACAGTAAAAGATAACAATGGATTTATCTCTGTGCTCATCAATTTCAGCAGCTGATACTTTTTCAATGTAACAAAGAACAGGTACAAACAAAATTATCAAAATATCATGTGAAATGGCAAGTTACAAGTGAGTTAATATATTCTTTTTCAACATTTCCAAAAAAATCTCTTTCTTCTGTGATATTCTTAGTGGTTTTTCAGTTTCATCAGTATTTTATGTTTTAAAGAAATACTGCTTGTACCAGAACACAAGAGACAGAGTGAGAGACCTCAATTAGAAATTCAAAGACTAGAGATTTGAGGAAGACTTCTTTTTCCTCTCTTAACTCTGATTAGTTTTGGTCTGGCTTCTTCACACACATAACTTTTTTTTCCTTTTGTCCCCTCCCCAAATACAGGAAAGAGAAGAGTGGTGCCACACCTCTATGTGCCCTTTTCATTTGCCTAATTGCTCTTGCTGTTCAGACTCCTACTTATGAGCATTTCAGAAGCCGGTATAAAACATTTGGCTACCAAAATGCTTATTTTAATGATTTTTCAACCCGTTGAAACATGTTCATCATGGTATCATTAATAATATCCTCACACATCACACTTTAACAGTATTTCACTGGTAGCGCATCCTCCTAGGATATTAGTCCACATTTTCAGGACTTCAGTATTCGGAGGAGGAGAGAAGAAATTATCCTAGAACTGCAAGTACACGGCACAAAGGACACAAGCAGCACTGGGTATTCAGAACTTGGCTTGTCAGAGGTGCGGTGCCTGCACAGTTCTCTCCTCGTTCACTCTGAAAGTACGCAGCTTCTGACAGTCACCCGGTGATGCTGGTTTGCTTGCACGCGGACTGTGACAGGCCTAACGACATGAATCTGTCACTTCAGTCCAGCAGCAAGGAGAAGATCAGCTAAGGGAGATGGCAGTGGAGGATGCAAGGAGGTCAAACAACAGGAAAGACAAAACCAGAAGAGGCGTCAGCCTGTGCTCCAGTCTCTTGTCACTCCAAATAGAGTGGTTACAGAAAAGCCAGCACAACAGCATGAACTGATAAATGTGACTAAACAGCACCTAAAGCAGAAACCTGTACTATAGTAATTTTTAATCTTAGTATCTTTACCATTTTCATTAACCTTGCATTATTTCCCATTTATATTTTTGACATAAGATGAAACATGATTTAAAAAAAAAAAACGCGTAACTCAGTCATGCTTTAAAAGCATCTGTTGATGTATTTTTGCAACTTAAGTTCTGCTGTTAGGAAATAAAAAATAAATCTCACCTCTAAATACCAAAAATTCTCTTTTGTCACAAAAAGTATTAATTGATATCACTAAGAGCTAAACAAAGATATGGAATCAGTCTCCCAGTTGCCATTTTCACTCATTTCACATTTCATAAGCATATACTTGAAACATTACATACACACATACATTAACTGAACAGTAAACCTAGAACCACTTTGCCCTCACTAGATATTAGACAACAGGAAACAACCCTAGAAGAAGCACAAAAAGCACTCCCAACACCCAAAAGAAAAAGTACTAATCTGTTAGCAACTGGAACAAAACGTACTGAAAGTTATTATCTGCTCCATCATCTAGTGCAGCTACACAAAAGCTGCAGCACAGGCCTGATCCTATCAGCAGCTAACCAGGCAACTCCTTTATGGCATGACATGTAAACGTTACATTTTATTGGGATGTAACCAACACGGGGCCATCTACCGCCTAAATAAATGTTACCAAAAAGGAGCACTTCCAATAACTCAACAAAAAGAAACCAGCAAATTTGGATTAAAGCTTACCATGCTCTTACTCCCAGGGGACCAAAACCCCAAGACTAGTATCAACAGCCAAACTAGGTAGGGCACACACAGCACATTGATCAGCTGGTTATCAATACTTACAGTATCTTTTTATGTCTAGCATATAACTGAGAGGAACAAATCAATCTGTAAGTTTCCCCAGAAACATGATAAACCACCTTCGCTCTTGTAAAAAGAAACAGGTTTTGATTTAAATATACCTACAGCAGAATGGAGTGAGGGGAGTATTATTCTTAAAATGTCTATATTTCTTGAAGAAACCCACAAGCATGTTCTTGGAAATTAAGATTAGCTAATGACAGGTTTCAGATATAACACTGCTACCTCCAGAATAAGAAGGCCAGTCAGCATTTCTCACTTTCTGTTTTAACATATCTTTGCAATCAGCCACAGCAAGAACGAAAAAAGATGGATGAGACCATTTCACCAAGCTGTATTCCCTACTGCCCTAATTTCCTGACATTTTGATTTCAAGGATTATCAAGACAAAAAAAGACATGGTCTTCCAAAACCTCTCACTTCAGCACTGTATTCACAAAATTGGAAGATGCAAATGAGCACACACACACCCCCCAGAAGAGCTTTACCGCTTGAATACTTAGCCTTTACATACTTGGTCCCTCTGATATCCTTGCTCTTCAACAGTTACCATCACTACCCTTCCTATTCATATTTAACATTGTTATCTCTATACAGTGAGCATATCTTTAAATCAAACAGAGAGCTGAAAGAAGCCATGAGAAACTTCATTCCTTTGAGCATTGACATTACTGTCACTGGAAAAAGAAGGAAGAAGGAAGAACAAATTCCAAGCACACTGTTCATTAACAATCAATAAAATTAATCTCTGCCTGTGCCCTTCATTTGGTCACCATCGGAAATCAATGCAAGACTGAGGAATGGCGTGCCCACCTCCCACTCTGAATGCAGCAGAACGTGTTGCCTGAGGGACTGCTATGCGATGGCAGTGCTTGCCTGGGTAGTACCTTCACATCTACGATAAAAACCCTCCTGCAAGTACCAGCCATGAGAACTATACAGCTTTCCATCTGCTTTACAGCAAACAAAGCAGTTGCCAAGATAAAGCCATTGTGCACAACCCAGCAGGGTTACAAACACACAATGGCAAACTTGAAAGTTAACAGGAATAGCAATAAAGTACTACCCACCTCTCTCCTGCCACTGTAAGACTACACTGGAGTCAAAGACACTCAGAACAGTTTGAAGGCAAAGGATAAAAAGAAACAGACAATCTCCAATGCTTTACACAATTCTGCTGTGCAAACAGACCTGTCTGCTGCTTCCTGCACCCTGACATCAGGGGTGATCTGATTTTGCAAGGGGCTCTCTTCTCCTCCTATGTATTCCTTTAATACTCCCGCACACAAGGGATTGAGACAACCCGGTTCTATCAGCAATTCTTGCTAAACATTATCATTAAAAATTAGCTTCAGATCACGTAACAAAACACAAAACCAAAACCATATTTCACCTAAGCAGTGTTAATTCCAGTCACGTTTTTTGTTGCTTTTCTTCTTCCTTGTCAGATTTTTGGGGTCTGGGATGAAATGCAGGCCATGAGAAGATAAGGCTTTAGCCCAAACCCCAACTACGCCTGAATCTGCAACCAAGAAGTCTTCCTATCTTTTAAAATCTCATGTTATCCAACATTAATGGCAGGGATTTACAAAGCAGAAATTAAATGTCAGGTTTTAAAAATTACAGATGTACATTGGTTTCAACCTGCTTTCGTCAATATAAATCCGTTTAGCGTATGGCTGCCTGCATGCTTTTCTTGCAAAAGCGGGTTTCCAGTTTTGATTTATGCCTTACAGTTGCGAGAGTTGTCTGTTTCCTCTGTTGGGAAACAAAATATAGGACATTACACATCTAATCTATAGATTAGCATAAGAAGCATAACCATCACAGCACTCGGGAGAAAGCAGCTGAAACGCAACTCAATGTATCAGATACTTTCATTTCCAAATAAAATACAAAACAGAGAAGTAATGCTTTCGTCTGAATCAGAGTTCTTAGAAAGGGGGATGCAGTCATGGGGTTTTTTTCCTCAAAATGTTGGACCTCCCTTATTTTACTGAAGGCCTCTTTACATTCAGTATACTAAAACCTGGATGAAAAAAGAACTCCTCTAGCTCTGCCTGACCCAGTCATAAAGTTATAGTTAGGTCATATTTAGCCTTCCATAGATGACTTAGTATACTGAACATCAAAGCTAGACCAACCTATCTCTTTATATGCTTTTAACCTAAAAGTGAGTTCAGTCGAAAGGACTGACTCTCTCATATGTTCTAAACATTTCTAGCTCTGCCATGAACCTGCTCCATGACTGCAAGCAAATTTCACTATGTTCCCATATTCCTTGCTTGCCTATTTTGCATTTTGCCCAAGAACCCAGGCATACCAGAACCCAGATCATGAAACTACCTCAGTGACCATCCCAGAACAAATTACATTAAACACCTTTTCATATTCTCTTGAATTTTCCAGATGTAACAAACTCTGAGACACTGTCCTAAAGTGGAACATGCTCCCAGGGCAGACTCCAACTGCAAGACCATCCAGACAAAGCTCATCCCTGACATATGGTTACCTATAGATGTGCATGACTAATCTAGTCTCTCTAGACTCCCTTTACCAGCATTTTGACAGCATGATTGAGCTCAGTCTACAGTACAATTCTTAAACAGGTTGGATTTCCGCCCCACATGCATGTTGCTCTCTACTGCCTGAAAAAGGAAATGAAGGCAATTAGCTGAGGTGGACACACAGGGGAAGTCGAATCCAGCCCAAGGTCTCTATACATACCTCATAAAATGGCTCCTCCTTTTCAGGCAAGGCTTCTAGCTGCCACCATCCCATCATTTCAGCTATATAGTCAGTTAAAAGATTTGAGTCAGCAGAGCAAACCAAACCCAACCAAAAAACCCCACCAGTCACGGTCCATCTGATTATATACAACGTGACAGGACTACGCATAAACCGCCTAATGCAAAAGCTGGGCTGTCCACCTCTTTCGTTTGAATGTTTACATGACAGCGATCAGAAATTATAAGCTTTTTCTCCTACCTATGTCTCTTACTGTGAATTTCTTTTGAAGACGGCAACCACACTACCCACATGCATATTACCTGTAGCAGGAGAAACCCTCAACTTCCACCAGCCTCCCACCAACACAACTGACACCATCTAGGTTCTGAGGTTTACTCTGATTAAGTTAACCGATCTCCTGAACCACACTGAGCAAAACACATTTTACTTCTTCCCTTTCAGGAATCCCATCTTCCCCCCCACTACAAGCACATCAGAGCATTGCTCAGAGTAACTAGGTTTTTTGGAAATGGATTTTTTTAAGTGACACAGCAGACTGATCTGCTAAGAAAGCAAAATTCATGCCTTTATTTTCAACCCATGTACTTAAAATGTAGCTTTCCACATGTCTATTACCAGACAGAAAAAAATAAGTGTAGAACCCTGACAGTACGACAAATACCAGTTAGAAGTAATGAGTACATGCTAAATGCAAACTTAATTAGAATGGAACTGAAAAGTTAAGAAACCATAAAAAACCATTAATAAAATATTGCCAAAGAGTACAGATAATGGCTAAAAAACCCTATTCGTTTTTTCTCCCCTCCTTCCCCTGAAGTCTGCTGCTTCTATGGATGTATTTTGCTCAGCTGTGCATCTGTTAAACTGAGTGCTGTAACGTTCTGCTCCTGAGATAAAAAACCTGAGCTAATTTCTTCTTCTGATATAAAAAGCTTTTACAACCAAACAAATTCTGAAATGACAGAAGCGATTTCATCCCCCAACTTGCAGTCTTGCAGGTTTTCATACATGTATCTTCCAGTTGCAGGACTCTGAAAGATCCCTAAGTAAGAGGATGGTGAGGCATCTTAAGAAGCAATACAGTCAAGCCCACACAGTTAAGCTTCAAATTACTGCCTTAAAAAAACCTGCTGATGTAACACCACATTTGAATTACAGCAACTGTAATATTAAAATTGGGGATTGTACCATCTACAGACTAATGCCTTGAAAACATCAAGCAAAGCCAGCCTTACACATGAAACATCTTTAAATCAAGAGATGAGTGACTGGCCAAGCAGCAAGTTTTCTCAATATTTTAATTTTACTTTTTAAATAGTATTTATATTTTTTTCTTTTAAAGGTAATAACAGATATTCAGTAACCAAGGAGAGCTTTTATAGATGTGGTTAAGAAAACAATCTACAATTCCAGCTTTCCTCAGAGCTTACAGGTGAAATTATGTGTATTTCTACCAGGTAAAATAGAGCCACTGTGCTCCCCCCAGTCCCCAAAAGGAACTCCTGCATTTAATGAGCCCTTTTTCCCCTTTTTGTGTTTAACTACTACCACTCAGTCAGAGTTCAGAAGCATCACTGCAAGTGACAAGATGCATCAATTATTAGCACCTGAAATAAGTGAAATACTTCATCTGTAGGTCACTACCCATTTCATTTGATCATCACACAGAGAAAGATCAATTATTCATTTGATTTAGTACAATGCAAAGTTTTAGAGTAGCTGCACATTTGCTTGTTCTCAAAAAGTCAATCATGAAAGTGTTCTATTGTGTGAATGCTTTATTTAATCTCTTGCTCACTGTTAAACTTAACTGCCAAAAGAAAAATGAACACAACTCCCTGCTATCAGGGAATACTGCACTGAGGACTTTTTATGTATTTTCTTTATACTTACATTCTTACAAATTATGTATGTGAGAAGCAGATGATGAGCGGCAATTTGGAAACACTTCACCATCTGCTATTTGCAGATCTAGTCAAATACAGAGAGTTAATTAAAGATTAAAGACAGGGACCAATACTGTTGAAGCAAAGAGCCATCATCTCTCCTGTTATGGCTGTAAATAAATAACTTTGGTAGCTTCTTCCAACTCCAATACAATTGTAAATCTGCAACATCTTAAAGGTGTCACGACTTGCATTCATAATATACCTGTATATCTTTTGTTTTAATTGACAGAAAAATACTGAAATCACATCAGCTTCATCAGAATGCCACAACTGCAGCAGGCTACTCCCAGTCCTGTTCAGGAAGAAGGTGTGACATATCTACCACTGTAAGAAACAGAAATTATAACAGGAAGCCTCTTGAAGAAGGGGTTATAGAGAATCCTAGCTAGAGAAAAAGATTTTTAGTCAGCTTGCAACAACTTTTACCTTCTTTTACATACATATTTAAGCAAGCAATATCTAATTAAGGGTGAACGAAGCACGAGATGATCCTGACAGTTCCCTTTCATTACTACCTTGATAGCAAGCTACCTCCTCGCTGTCCAGTCTACATCTCCTACACTGCTTCTGCAAGCAACAGCCCCTGTTAGAACACCACCCTCCCTCCTCTGGCTGCCAGGCCCTCTGCTCTGCAGCCTCACTTTAGCCATCTCCTGCATTAACTGCAGCTCTTCTGTCAGAGCTGGGGAGGAGCAGCGAAAATATGCCAAGCTGAAGTGGGTGTCACAAGCCCTCCCAAGATATTTGTTCAGGTGTATGAAGCAAAGGTTTCTGCTTGACTCTGAAGAGCAGTAACTTGAGTTTGCTCTTTCACAACTGCTCTGCTTCCTCTGCTACCTGAGGCCACAGCTGCGCCGTGCCAAGTCTGAAAGCTGCACCAGGCTGCTGCACAGCAGCTCGCTGTGGCTGGCTGCCAATTA